TCAGTAGCTGCATATTACTTTTTGGGAAAAGACCAAAGTTAAAAATTCTAAGTACAATTTCTACTGAATGAATATCACTTTTGCACCATCATAAAGTCAAAAAATTATAAGTAGCGGACCATTTGTACTTAGCCTCTCTAAGCCTCAGTGTTATCCTTTTAGAATAAAATAGTGTTTGCTTAACAGGATTGTTTTGTGTGAAAAAGTTCCTGGTTTTAATAGATACTTAAAAGAGCTCATTATTGTTATTATACCTCAGCAATAATAAAATGTGCTTGGAATATTTTAGAAATAAACACAATGACTCTTGTCGGGGCCACTGTACATGCTTGGAAGAATGCACTGAGCAGGGGCTGAGGGGCTGTCCAGCATGGGAAAATAGCAGCCAGCCTTTGGGAACATGAGGGGTAGGGCATGCCCCGGGTGCAGGATATTAGAGTGAGAGGGCCATGGAATCCTTCAGAAGCATTTTTATATTTTACAATTGTTTAATTCTTTCCTTTTCTTTTAGTTGCAATTTTGAATATTTTGCAAGACCAGGGGTTCCAGGCAAGTAGGAGCATCATTCTCTACAGTCAGCTGACACAGACACTTGACCCCCTCTCCAAAGACTGAATATTATTGGAACCTGGAATGTCTATGTTGTTTTTATTTTCTTAAATTTTTATACAGATGTATTTATAGAGATATAAAGAATGTTTTCCCTCCCCTATTTTCTCCATCACCTTGAGAGTACTTTTAGCAAAGAGAAAAAGACCACAGCAATATTTGGGGAGGTTTAGGATTTTTTAAGGAGAGAAATGAATGAGTTACAGCCCACATTTATCCTTCTTTCCCACCTCCACTGGTTTCCTACATCTCTGCTGGAGAACACTTTGAAGCTCTCCCATCATTGCAAAGATGCACTTAGTAAAGAATAAAGAAAAGGCAAAAAAGCTGGATGAAGAGAGTCACAGCCCAATGATCTCCCAGTTGGCATTCTTAGGTCCCACCTTATGGGAGAAAGCCCTTCCCTGTGACAATTAGGATACATGAAGTGTGTCACCACATTCCCAGGCTGCAGCCAGCTGCTCAGCTGGCCTTCTGTCCTGGTCCTAGTATCTGGGCTCCACTCACCCCAGAGGCCTGTCTTAGAACTGCATGCAGGGCCCCCATCAGTTCAGGTTAACAGTTATCAGCAAACTACCAGACACCAGGTCCCCTTGAACCTGACACCATTCAGTTCCTGTGAGGTAGGAGCCAGACCAGAGAAGTCTTGCTCTCACCAGCATTCATACTCAGGACAGGTTCAACTCTAATAAATGCAAGTTCTCTGAGGTTGAAACCAAAGCTCCCCATGCCTTCACACCTGGCCATTGAAATTGGACAAATATTGAGCAAGAAGAAAGAACAATGCAATGGCCAAGTGCTCCTGAGATGCCAGGAGGCTGGAGGAAAAGGAGATTGCCACCTGGGCTTCATTTGTTGAGCAGAAGTCAGCCCTCCACGTACAGGCCAGGTGCATTTCCCTGTAGGATGGCATTTTTGAGGACTGGCTTTTGAAGGGATGCATGGTTTGTTTCCTGTCTGATAGCACCACACCCAAACAAACCTTTCTGTCATAAGCACTTTTCTAGAGCTATAAATACAGGTGACTCACATTTAAATCTGCATCTATGTCCAAATATAGGTCCCCAAATGTGCTTTGGCCTGTGTCTGCAGTCACCAGTGTGTGAAAATATGTGTGTATGCACATGTGTGAGTGAGCACGCGTTCTTTTGCATTCCCATATAAGAAACTTTGTCCAAAAAAATAAGTGTCATGTTTTCATTGGATTATAGAGAACTCTCATGGATTTTCCTCCCTTCCCTTCTTCTTTACTCTTCCCCTTTCAGCTCTGATTCATGCTAGACCTTATTTACTTTGTCATGTCCCGCTCCTTGGATTCATTAAGGACTTTGAAAAATAGTACATCTTGATTGTCAAGAATACAAGCTTTTGTTTAAGTCTAATCTATAATTTACCATAATAAAAATGATATACACAATAGCAGCACTACACTGCAGCACTATTAATATATAGGTTGCTTTCCTCATATTTTAAGTTTTGGTGATAATTGTCTTCATATTTAAAGTGCTCTTTAGATTTATTAGGTCCCATATTTACTTACTATTTTTATCTACTAAGTTTCATATTAATCATGCCAACACCAAATAAGTAAGAATAATATTAGAACACAGATTTGCTTTTGCACTGTCTATACTTAAAGCAATAATCCTATTGAGCACTAGAGCATGCTGCCTAAGTATTACTAGTGGATGTAAGATACTTTCCTCATCTAAAAATTTTACTGTCTTTTCAAAAACAGAAATTAAAGTGATACATTTGGAACAAGCTCAGAACATCCACAGGACAGAGAATTAGAGGAAATGGGAGGAATAAGAAGACAATTTTCAGTATAAGGGCCAAATGATGTGTTTTAGAACAGCCTAGACATCTACATGACTTTCCAGCTGACTTTTTCAGTATTCCTCTTGATATTCAAAACACTGATTATTTGAGTCCCTCTTGTGTAATATATATTTTTATAGATTATAAGGGGGAAAAAAACCTTGCTTTAAAAAAAAAAATCAGTTAATTAAATATGGTGATGTTTTTAAGATCCTTTTTCTTAGTGGTGTCACTTCATGAAGTAATGATCCTGGAACTTACGCTGCTTGTTCTCTGTTACTTTTTGGTGTGTATTCCCTTATAAAGTAGACTTCTCAAAAATAAATGCAAAAGTCACTGGTGTATATCAAGAGGAGTTGGTTTTGCCACAAAGTGTAATTAAGCCAATAATCAACTTGAATTTTACTACAGACCCAAAGTAGAGGTTATTAAATAACAATGTAATTATAGAAAGTAATTATAGAAAGTTCCTTGGCATAGTAATTTTCAAATATAAATATTGGTAGTGTATTTTGAAAGACATATCACATGTAGCAAAAAGAAAAGAAAAAAATCCCACTTTTTAAAATTCTATAGCAAACACACACATACATATATAAATATAAATACATATATTCACCTCAATAGCCAGCATCCAAAATGACCCACAATGATCCCCACATCTTGATAGTCTCACTTTTGTGTGATTCCCTCCCACATTGTACCAGTGTTGGTCTATGTGACCCATTGCACATGGCAGAAGTGATGCCACCTCTGTAATTAGGTTATAAAAGACTGCAGCTTCCATCCTAGGTTCTCTGTCTCTTTCTCTCATGTTCTTTCTCTCTGAAAATGATCACTCTGGGAGAGGCCAGTTGCCATTTTGTGACAATTTCAGTCCTATAGAAAGGTCCATGTGGTGAGGAACAGAGGCCTTCAGCCAACTGCCAGCAAGAAACTGACACCTGTCAACAACCATGTGAGTGAGCTTAGAAGATTTCCTAGCCCCACCAGAGCCTTGAGACGACTGCAACCCTGGGGACAGGTTAGCTACAAGTACAGGACAGACACTGAGCTAGAACAGCCTTGCTAAGCCACTCCTGGATCCTGACCCTCAGAAACTTGGTAAAGACAATAAATTACTTGGAGTAATTTGTTATACCACCATGGATAACTAATAAAGTTGTCAATGTTATACAGAAAAAAAAAGGATTTTTTGAAGTCTTTAATATTTCAAGCCTATCACTGACACATCAGCAAGTTTTTTGCTTTAAATTAAAATTATATGACAGTATTGAGGCTTGCCCTGATGATTCCTGTTCCTAGATACATAAGGAGCTTTCTTATTTTCTATTAGGTCTTGAAAAAAGGATCAGTTAATGTCACCCAAAAGCACGAGATTACTTTTACTCAAATATTTTTTGGATGATGTAGTATTTTTTAGGAAAAAGATCTGCCACAAAAAACTTTTATTTCAAAGTGTTGTGTTGCTGGCATGGATCACCACTGCCTTGATCTCTTTGCAGAAGGGCATGTTTTGCACAGTGTGAGATGCATATTAGTGCATGTGGATAGTCTATCAGGTAAGAGAGGTTTTGACTTAAAAGATGTTCTTTGTTTCACTAATTTGTGCAATGTCAAGGGATTCTACTGTTATTGAAACAGAACATTTAATGCTAGATTAAATATATAATTTCAAAAATGTGACTTTCTAGTTTCCTAATTCCAGAGAATATTCAATGATCTGGTGGCTTCACTATCAATTCATCAGCAATTCTTCTCTAAGAGTGTCTACTGGAATCTGTGGACCCAGGCTAGCTGGATAAGAAACCCTTTTACTAGGAAACCATTTTGCCTCAAGCTTCAGATAATGGTGGAAAATGGAGGTGATAGGAAAGGGAGGGGAGATTAGACATTGTTTTCTAGGGCTGCCATAACAAAGTACCACAGACTGGGTGATTTCAACAACAGAAATTTGTTTTCTCATGATTCTGGAGGCTGGAAGTCCAAGATCAGAATGACTGCAGGATCGGTTTTCTGAGGGCCTCTCTCCTTGGCTCATAGATAGTTGTCTTTCTCTATGTCTTCACATGGTCTCCCTTCTGTGTGTCTGTGTCCTAATTGCCTCTTCTTATATGAACAGTCATGTTACATTAGGGTCCACCCTAATGACCTCATTTTACCTTTATAAAGAGCCTATGTGCAAATATAGTCATGTTCTGAGGTACAAAGGTTTAGTACCCCCAGTATGAATTTTGTGGGGGCACTATTTAGCCCACAAGAGAAGTAAAATATATTGTTTAGGTAGATAACTAACAGAGAAAAAAGATTAAATCATTGAAAATCTTAAGCAGAACTGAATCAGAGATATTTGTTGTAATAGCAACAATAGATTTAGACTTCCTATAAGTGTATTTTATGATAGTTTTGATGTGCTTTTTTTAACTGTAATTTTTATTTCTTCTGTGCAAAACATTTGTGATACTCGTTTGATACAAACAGCCCAAATCTAAGAAAGACCAATGATCAAATGCAGGTGTTTTAAAAAAATCTACTTTAATAGCTATTATATTAAGCTTATATTATGTTATGTGTGTGCTACATAAATGTATATTAGTAATTCATTTACACCAGAGACCGCAATTAGCAAAAATCCAGACCAATCCTTTTCTCATCTGTCATTATTTAAATTATCCAAAATAAAATGGAAAATATAAATATTTTACCAATATATTGAGTATACAATAGGTGTTATAACTATTAGCATTATTATTAGTGCCTGTGCCGTGAGGGCTGATGAAACATTTAATGCCCCATCCTTCTCATACCACCTCCCAAACAGAGTTGCTGTTAATACAGGTGCAGATATTGGCTTCAGGCTGAACAAGCGTCCATCACTTGATACCTATTTACAAGACAGAAAAGCAGACAGGGTGTTCCTTTAAGTTATATAATCCCACAAGACACTTTTAAAATTCAGTATAACTGGATGAAAAAACAATAAAAATACTGGCCAAATTCCGTTCTATTAGATATATTTGAAATATTGCAGAGTACAAGAAAAATTGGAGCTATTTAACTGGTACCAATTCATTTACTACTAAAATGCTTGCAATCAATATCTTATAATTTCCTTAGCTGAGACAGCATCCCATGTTTATAAACATAAAACAATAGACCCGGTAGTATATAAGAGAGAAATCTAGTCCTCTCAGGTAAGATAAAAACTCCCCCAAAGGATCAGGAGCGATAGACTAAGGGGGGTTGAAATAAGCATCTATTGTCCCCAGTCACTCAGTCCCCACAGTCTCCTAACCATCTCATTCTGTTCCCCACCCCACAGTTGTTTCTGCCAGGAAAGGGGAGAGCGTGCCAGGAAAAACCAGGGGAAGCCTGTAGCTGGGCAGAGCACATGCACAGCAAGAAATTATTTCTGGACTCTTAAAAAACCCCAAAAAACAGTTATTGCTTCTTTGCCAACATCAGCAGCTGTCGAATTCTCTCTCCTTCAGCTTTTCCTTTTCTCCTTTTCTCCTATGGCCACACCAGGCTTTGACCTACACAATGACAGGGTGCCCTTTCAACTTCCTTAGGCTGTCACTCCCCAGTGATTTTCAGGGGCTTTCTCTGGTGGGACTGGTCCTGAAATTATTCTTGTTGAATCTACTTCCTGCTCAACATACCTTGAACAGCCCAGCTCCTTAAATAAGATTTTTTTCTTTATTCTCAAGAACACGATAGTTATTACAGTAAGAATTTTCAGGCAAGAAATTCAGCCTGCTCAGTGTCCTTCACAATCCCCAAGGATAATTTCACCCTCTCCAAGTGGAGATTTTTATATTTGTAAGTACTCATGTAGATTTTGATCTCAGAAAGTGCTTCTTCTTGAAATTGGCAATAGCATGTAAAGATTCTCACCTGAAATTCTCCAGGTGCAAGCTGAATTTCACTCAGCAACACCTCAGGGAAGACATGCTGGGTTTCAAAAGTGCCACTGAGGGAGAACATCTCAAACGTGGTGGAAGCAGTTTCAACTGGGTCACCACAAGTGTTTAAGTCATTTGTTGCACACTTCAACAGAGTGCAAATCTAGGGGAGTGACACAAATCAGTTAGTCATAAGAAAGTCGCAAGGGATGTGTTAATTCACCTGTATACTATATCAAAACATCACCTTGTACACTGTAAATATGATTTTTATTTGTTAATTATACTGTAATAAAGCTGGGAGGGGATTTAAAAATAAAAAATAAAATAAATAAAATGCTAGCTGCTCTTAGGAAAAAAAAGTCATAAGAAAGTTAATTGAAATACTCTCCTGACCCAGAAAAATGCTGTGCCACTTTGTATAGTAAATAATGTTATTTTTTTATTAGATTAATCCAGTTTATTGCTGAATAACTAACGCAACTAGTAATAAAAATAAAGACTTCAGACTCCAGTAGTTCTTGCAAGTCACTGTTAAACAGATTAACCACGTACAGAAGCAATCAGATCTTTGGCCTATAGCCATGAACAACTGTATCATCATTGCTCGCAAGTTGGCAATGCTTTTTATTATCAAGAATGTTCAAATTTTTAAAAAGTTTAAAATTTAGACACTAGTGTACTCTCTCTCTTACTGCCTATTTCACACAATAAAAGACCTTTAGAGTTGTAACGAGCCCTAGAATTGATCTAGAGGCAACCCCTGTGATCTGGAAAAGTTATTTTACATCTGAACATGGACTAAACAGTTCTCAATTAGATTTTTCTTCCACTATATAACCTAGCTATTTGAACATAAAGTATATGAATCATCTCACCATGCAGATGGAAAGTTCTCGAAAGGAAGATCCATATTCAGTTAACTCCATTTGTACCTCTTCCAAGCTACCTTCATTTCTTGCATGACTAAAGCGTTAGCCTCTTACTGATCTCCCTGCTCCCATTTTTGCAGATGGAAGGCAAGCACTTTAGGGCAAGTGTGTTATAACTTTCAGGTAAAGGTAGAATGAACATATGCTTCTGTTTTGTTCCCTTGAAATCCTACAAAAATCAACACTGATTTTTAAAATAAGACAAATTCACAAGGAAAGGTGAACTGGAGGATAGAACACAGCATGGCTTTAGAAGCTAGTTGATGCAAAAGGTGGTAACCTATTTAGCAGACCTAAGAAAGCCACGTCCTAAACTGGCAGAGGGGAAAGCCAAGAATCAATGCTCCCTTGCACTGCAGAGAACTCAAAAAATTCATCACTGGGACCACTAGGTACCTCAGAGCTGGGAGTAAGGTTGTGGTGGCTAAAGTAAGGAAAATTGTTGAAAAACTGTGAAGAATGCCTTAGGTAACTAAGTACCCAGCAGAGATGGGCAACTGACTCTCCCTTACTCCAGTAAAAGACTCATAACTTACTTCCACAGAGGTTAAAGCAATGTTCTTTAGATGAAAGTTTGAAAGGCATGGTTTAAGGGGATTACATGAATGAAGCAAACTGAATATTAGAAACATCTTCCTCCACCTCACCACCACTCCCTGCAAGGCCATTTCCCCCAGATAGTTCTCTAAATGCTGTCAGCAAGAGATTTATTCTTTAGGAATAATGTTACCAGATAAAATACACAACAGGACTCCTGTTTAAATTTGAAGTTCATATAAACAATGAATAAATTTTTATTGTAACTACATCCCAAATATTAATATATATAATATGAGACATAGTTATACTAAAATATATCAAATTATCCGAGCATCCTGTATTTTTATTTGCTAAATTAGGCAACTATATTCAAGAAGGAAATTAGAAGAACCTTGAAACCTGGGAAAACGGACCAGCCCAAGAGGAAGTCTCTAAAGATACTTACTTCAGGGGTTTCCTTAACAAAAGGTCCAGCTAGAGCTCTCCACTGTGAAGCTCAAAGTTAGCAAGTATCACCCACATACTCAGAAGTTTTAGTTTTTGGTAATCTCCAAGCATTACCAGATATATTAGGAAACATAAAATGGATACGTAAGGAAAACTTATAAAAGGAAAGAGACCAAAGCAAGCAGATAAAAGCAACTTAAAGAAAACAGAGAATATTCAGGGGGAAGATGCTTCAAGAACATTTTACCTTAATCACCTCAGAGAGATAAGAGAAGATATTGCAAGTCTGAAACAATACCGTCAACAAAACCAACAACAAAAGGAAAAATAAAAGGAAAAACTATAAAAAGAGGGAAAAAAGAGCTCTGGGAAATTTAAAACATATTAGCAAAAATAAAAGACTCAGTGCAAGAGTTAGAAAATCAAGAGGAGGAAACCTCCCAGAAAGTAGAGAGTAAAAGAAAGAGATGGTAAATAGCGGAAAAAATATTTTAAAACTTAGAGGACCAATCCAAAGGACTCAGGATCCCAATAGTAAGGATAAAGAGAGAAAAAGAAAATGGAAAGGAAGAAAATCTTTAAGGATCTGGTCACACAGGGAATCAGGGATCAAAATAACTTTAGAATTCTCAGTGGCAACGCAAAAAGAGAAAATAATACCTTCACAATTCTGAAAGAAAATTATAACCACCTTTCAATTCTTTACTCAGAAAATACTTAACCAAATCTAAGAGAAGAGGCATTTTTTAAGACATGTAAATCTCAAAATTTAACTCTCCCACTAACAACAACAAAGGCATAAACCAAAATCAAGAAAGACGGGGAACAGAAAACAGGAAATCTACCCAGAGGAGTGATAGAAGAAATCAGGATGATGATCAAAGGAGATTCCAGGATGACATCTATATTGAATAGGCCGTGGAGGAAAGCCAGTTCAGGTGAGAGCAGTGTGACTCAAGAGACAAACATGTTGGAGGGTTGGCTCCAATGTAACAAAGGAGCAAATAAAGACAGGAGAATGACAGGGAATCAAAAACAAGACAAAAGCAAAGACAGAGAATTCCTAGGATGACAGTAAAGGAAGTCTCATGATGACAGCTGTGCACAACAACCAGAGGAAAACCAGTACAGAGAAAGGTTATTATTTTTTTTTTTTAAATTTTTATTTTTTGTCTTTTTTCGTGTCCGGCAACGAATCGCAACCCTCAGTGTCGCGCCCGTACCGGACCGGGACTGGCAACGGGATCGCAACCCTCAGCGTTGCGCCCGCACCTCGCTCAGCCAGTGAGCGGGAACCGGTCTGTATGTGGGATCCGAACCCTCGGCGGGAGCGCCGCTGCACTCCCAAGTGGCGCACTGTAGCAGTGCGCCACCGGGCCGGCCCAAGAAAGGTTATTTTTAACTAGGATTACCAGATGAAAATAACCTTTTAGGGAAATTGTTCTGAGATGCTGTTGGAAGGTATGGAGAGTTTTTAACAAAAAAAGTTAAAGAAAATAAAGTAAATTTTAAAAAGCAAGGCAATTAATAACTTCTAGAAAAAATAATGCCATCAATGCTCTACTCTGAATGATGTTTGCATAGTCATAACAACATAATTGATATACATAAATACTGATATACATAAAAGTCATATTGGAAGGATGGTAAACAGGACACAGGCAGGATGATATAGCAAAGCTAAATGTTCATCTACCAGAGTAGAAAATAAAAGATAACTAAAACTGGTGAATTTTCATACATAGAAATACTATTAGGAAATACGAATTGTAATTGCAAAAAAGAGAAGTCAAAATTGCCACTGGGAAGGGCCGGCCCAGTGGCGCACTGAATAAGTGCGCCGCTTGGGAAGCGCGGCGGCGCTCCCGCCCGAGGGTTCGGATCCCACATACAGACCGGTTCC